CTTGAGTTTCCAAGGTGCTATCACTATGGAAGTAGATTGCTCAACCATCCTTCCAAGGAGTACCTGGTGGGTTTGAACTGCCAGCTTTCTTGTTAGCAGTCAAATGCCCTCAATGAGATGGACTGACACAGTGGCGGCAAAGATGGGCTAAGGTACAGCAAGGATTGAGAGGCTGGCATGGGACCAGGCAGTGTTTCATTCTATTGTACATAGTGTCGCTATGAGTTGGAGCCGACTCAATGGCATCTAACAACAACAACAATTCTGAACTATTTTTTATTTATTATAGTTATATGGATATACAGCAACTATTAGAACTGATTAAGACTTACGTTCTTATGTTATTTGCTACTATTTTCTCTTTTGTAGCTATATATAATAAAAAATTGACTTTTATTTTGTAAGTCAAGTTATTTCCCTTCTTTAGGTAGAGACAAGAAGCAAAAGAACAAGTTACATTCTCCCTAAAACGATATATTAGTACTTTAAATGTTTACAGTCTTACTGTATTTGGGGAGGGGGTAGACAAAGGGCAAGATGTATAGTCCTCTTATTGCCAGAACTATAAATGCTAAGTATAGTGTAATTTGAATGATATTCATAATATGTCCTTGGATAATGTTTCTATGTTTCATGCTTAAATTTGATTAGGTTTAATAAGTTCAAAGTCAAGGTTAGGTACATTTATATAATTCAAACCACTTTAAAAATCTAATGTACTATTAAATCAGGGCCAACAGACAGACAGAAGAGAATTAATAAAGCATTAGCTAATTCTCCAAATCCTTAACCTTCAGTATAAAGTGAATTTGATTAAGCTTTCCTTCATGAAATATATATATGTGATATAAAATGCAATACACTTTAGGTGGTATCATCTTCTGTATATAATTTTAAGAAGATTTATACCCCAGAATTGAAGGTAGAAAAACAACTTACTCCTTGACAATGAAGATAGTCAACTGTTTTAGTTATAACATACAGTACATCAGCAGCCTCTCGTTCCGAGAAACATTTTTGTTTGAGGATACGGTCAAGCAGCTCTCCTCCCTTCATCAAATCCGTAACAAGGTAAACATATCTACCATCGTCATAGACCTAAAAAAGAATGCATTTTTAAAATGTTACTATTTACAATTCTAAAATGCTTAAATTGTATTTGTTTTCCTAGTGAACCTCTAGTACTAAAACAAAACAAAACAACATTATTCCTTTACTGTTAATGTAGAACAAATTTTACTGAAGACTGGATTGGCTAAACAACCTCCTATACAGTCCAGTGAAGCCATGTTAAACTTATATTAACTTTGAATATGTAGGTTAGAACTTATGAAGAAAATCAAGGATATATGGAAACAAATAGTCCAAAGGACCCTGAGACAAAAGAACTAGATGGTGCCTAGCTACCAGTAATGACTGTTGTGAAAGGGATCACAATAGAAGGTATTAGAGAGAACGGGGAAAAGATGTGGAAAAATACTCAAAATTATAGAAAAGTTTAGGTTTGCTGGTCTTATAGAGACTGGTACAACCCCAGAGTTTGTGGCTCTTAGTCACTCTTCAAGCCTGGAACTGCACTCACCCCATGGCTCAACTTTCAGCCAAGCAATAGATAAGCATTATGAGGTGAACGATAACCATAGAGGGGGATGACATCAAAAGAGCAGCTTTTGCCCAGGCACAGAATGAAGGAGGAAGGAAGAGATAGTTAGGAAAGAAGGACAAATGGAAATGGAAAACACAGAGATAAAGTGGGAAGAGTGCATTGTGGAGATTGCAATTAATGTCATGAAACAAAATGTATACAAACTGTTGAATGGAAAATCAATTTTTCTGTAAACTTTCACTCAAATCACAAAAAGTATTATATATATCTGGTAGCTTAGTGCCTAAAGCACTTGACTGCTAATCAGAGGCTGGTGGTTCAAACCCAACAGCCACTCCTTGGAAGGAAGATGGGGCAATCTACTTCCATAGTGCTACTGCTTTGGAAACCCAAGGAGGGGTCGCTATGAGTCAGGTC